TCTTGTCTTTGGAGCTTTGGAAGTTTGTTTTTGTTCTGTTTGTCATCTGACTAGGAATGCCCTTCTTGTGACTTTAGCACTGTCCCTTTGTCCTTTTGGGTTCTCATTGCCTCAGTCTGGGCACAGAGGGGCTTGGGAACTACTTTGAGATGATTAAGAACCGAGCAGAGTGGTTTTGGGCCACTGTCCCTCCCCTCCAGGGCCTGGCCCGGTCAGCTGTGTCCTCCACAGTCTTCTTCCCTGCGATTGGCACTGACCTCTAGGTTTTGTGGGTCCATTTGCTGTCCAGTGTGCTCTGCTGGGTCGGTGCTCCTGGAGAGCAAGTGTGGTGTCTTGCTGGAGCTGCCCTCTCTCCCTGATTCTGCTGCACAGTGGCATCTCCAAGTGCTGAGCTGAGCTTAGGTGAGAGGAAGGGCCAGAGGGTTAAGTGGATCTCTCATGACCGGAACCCAGCTCCTGTCCTCTGGGGAATCCTTTCTTTTCTAGCCTCTTTCCCTTCTGCTCTCCCATGGTTTATCCTCAGTAACAGTCCTGTTGCAGGACCCCTACTGCTGACCACGGCCCCGAGGAGATCACCTGTCCCTTTGGAAATGTTGGATCTTCCCTGGGTGGGTCCTGGGGCAGTGCTGGTTCTGGTCATGCTAAGGAGCACATCTCGTCACCTGCCACTGTCACTACCTTGCCATCAGTTCAGTCTGTGTACAGAGGTGTGGCCGGTGGGGGCATTCCAGACACATGGCCAGAGGAATCCCCAGGGCCTCTTGCTGGTATTCCTTCTAGGAGGGATCCTCCACCTCCTGGCAACTGAGATTTCACTCTGAGATGCCAGGTGGGATCTGATCGGGGTCACAGGGCCTCCCAGGCACCTCTAACTTACTGTTATTTTGTGAAAATTGAGGTGTAGCGGAGGCCAGTTTGGTTGCTGAAGTTTGATGAATGTGGAACAAGGGAATTTGGGGTTGTCAGAAGCTGCTCTGCTCTCCTGGGATTCAGGGCAGCAATGTCTACCCTCAGGCAGCTGTGAGAAGTAAGTGGACCAGGAGGCCAGCCTGGGCGAGGGAGGAAGGGAAGCAGCCTTTGAGAGACGCTGTCTGGCCTTCCAGGTGATCTGCGTCGGTCCCGCAGGACTGAGCCACGCACACAGGTGTGGCACCAATCGACGTGCAGCTCAGCATGCACACAGAGACCTCCAGCACTCAGAGAACACAATTAGACTTTTAATGAATTGAAAATTAAGTTTTGAAGCATGCAGAGTCAGTAACCTCATTAATCACCATATTATGTTGTCTTCTAGCAAACCAACTCAATGTCACTGAAATATTTAATTCATAGTTCTAATAATTAGATTCAAAATCCTGAAGCTTGAAAAGGTACATTTTCACCAGAAAGAATAAACACGCCGTCGTTCCCAGTCATTTTGCTCTCTCAGAAGTTATTTATTGAGTATCATTCATGGGGCAGGCACCAAGCACTCCTCACTTCACGTGCCAGGGCTGTAGGGGAGACACGATCCTTGCCCTTGTGTAGCTTTCTATTCAGCATAAAAGAAAGACGCCCCACAAGCCTACGGCGAACATGACCGTCCTTTACTCTATGGGCCGTGAAGGCGGCGTGTGCATCTGTCATGGGCGACAATAAAGATGGACGGAGACTCTCAGCCGCAGGCTTCGAACACCCAACCGTAAGTGGTTGAGTGAGCTCCTTCCTTCTCACTCTCCTTCCTGCCAGTCTGTGTGGATGTGAGAAACCCTTTCTGAGTCTCCAGCCCAGAGCCCACTGAACTGGCCGAGAGCACCGTCTGTCCAGCCTCTGTATCTCGACTCTCGGAGTCAGCCCAAGGCAGAGCCGTGCCCACCTCTGAACTCACGGACGGCTGCCGCATTCCAGGGACCTGAACTTGTAGCTTCCAGGGGACGTTAAACCGAGGCGTCCAGTCATCCAGGGTGTGACGTGCACCTGGCCCCAGCAGCCAGGCTCCAGCGTGGCTCACAGAGGTTCCCGTCCCGTCAAGCCAAGTTCCTCGGCAAGGAATGCGGAAGCCGAAAGACCAGCCCTGCTGCTGTCCCTGAGCTTGGGAGGGGTGGTGGAAGGCCACGTGCAGTGTGACAGCATTTGCAATTGATTCTGGGAGGTCACTGAGGATGCCCACCACCCACGGGCACAGCTTGTAGGAACCGAGGTGCTGCAGCCACTAGACGGCGAGACTCAGAATCTGCTGGTGGTGGGGCCACGGCTGCTCTGCTGCCTGCTCTGAGTGGGGAGGTGGGCCAGCCATCTTCGGGGCAGTGCTGTGTCACTGAGGCACTCCTAAGCTTGGCCTCAGGTCTGCCTGGGTGAGCTCTGGGAACCTCACAAGGTCACTCGGTGTTCCTGGGGTTCAGTGCTCTCAGCTCTCAAGGAAGTGGGCAGATCCACCCTCCCCAGGTGGCGCCCTGGTGAGAATCGGATGAGACAGCAGGCCCGGAGTCGTCTTGTTAATTGAACGGGTGACACGGATTGCAAGGCATTCCCACACAGACTGACTCTGAACGTGCTCTTGCTTCGCAACCAAGTCACCTCTCCCTGTGACAGTCCCAACATGCAGGCGAGTGCCCGAGGAAGCAGCAGGTGCTGGATGGCGATCGCTGCCCGAGAGATTAACCGAGGACTCGTGATGCGTTCGCCAGGCAGCTGTTCGGGATTAGTGGGGATTTCTGAGGCCCCATGAAACTGAATGTCTCAATCTGTAGGTGAAAACCATGACCTTGTGTCCTTGGGGTGGCCCCTCCAAAACCGACCATGAACATGCGCTTCCCAGGCTGGGACCCCGTCCTACCACTCACCCGAGAAGGGGTAACCCACAGAAGACCCTGCCCGCTTGCTGTGGAGCACCAGGAGCCAAATCCAGCACCAAACCCATCTGTGACTCATAGTGAGACAGTGGACCAATGGGAACAAGCGATGGAGCACCCACAAAGGACATCTCCACCCTGAGCGTCACGGAGTTACCCGTGTCTTTTGATGGTGGATCTTGGAGACTTTTATTTCTCTTTGTCATAATGAAGAGACACATTTTGCTGGTACTGCTGGAGGTCTCATGAGGAAGTGCGCAGTTCCTCACCTCGCAGCCAACAGCTTTGCCGTCCTCCCTGGCCGGGAGCAACCAGCTTCACTGCTTTCGCTTTTCTGGGCTTTTAAAAAGTCTCCGTGTGTCCGTCATCTCCAATCTGAGGCGTGATCTGCCTCGTGGCCGACGAGTACGGATTCGCTCACACTGCCACCCGTGGTGGGCTTTCCCAGTCCTCCCAAGGAAGGGCCGTGAGCACCGTGGTCCCTGGTGGTCAGCGTCTTCCCGAAGCTGGTGACCGTCTGGCTCATTGTCTAGGTTTCTGTTCCTGCTGCTCCTCTTCCTGGGCCTTCCTCTCGTCCCTTTGCCCTGCAGGCACATGGTGTTGGATCTGGTGGTCCGCACCGCCTCTCCTGAAGACCCTCGGGCAGCCCCCACTCTTCTCCCGAGGCTCTGCGGCATCCAGGCCAGCGTTACAGCTGTCACTGTGGGACTCCCCGTCTCGGTCATCCGGGGAGTCCCCTCTGGAGATGGGATTCCTGCTGTCTGAGTCACGTCTGGTCTTCTCACTCAATGTTTTCTGCATCTGGTTGGGAAATGTTTTCTAGTTGCTCATCAGGTTAACGGTATGGCGCTGTGCCAACGGCCTGGTGACAGCACCTTCACTTGCCCATCGTGGCCTTGCGGCTGCTCCCAGGCGGGGACCTCCGTGTCCAGGCACAGTGGCTCTCCCTTGGCTCTGCAGACCTTAGGGTCTCTTTTAGGATCTTTTTCCTTTTCATTTTGACTTTATCATTGCATTCTAAAGTTTCATATTAATGATTTCTTTTTGTTGTTGTTGCAGTAGTGCTGCCTAAAAATGGCCCTAAAGTATCACTGACTTTTACACTTCATGAGTCTGCAGGTCAAATACCCACCGTTCTCTGCATCTTGAGAGTCAAATTCAGGCATAATGTTTCTCTGCTGGGACCTTCTCAGGGTCCCTGGCAGCAGGCAGAGGGAGAAGCAGCGCAGCCCACACTGAGCCCCTGCTCCAACGTGGGTGAGGTCCAGTCCAGCCGAGCTCCTCTGCACTGCAAGTCGGGTGGCCAGGTCCAGGTCAGAGAAGAAGTTTCTCCCTGCAGTGCACTGAGGCAGGGGGAGGGGGAGAGAGGAGCAGCGGGCCAAGCACACATGTCCTCCCCGGAGCTCTGCCACATCCCTGTCCCCAGTGGGCACGAAGGGGCCTCTGTCTGGACGCTTGGTCTTGCACCTTTCCTGATTCCCTGCGCGCCACACTCTGCTCCGGGTTCTGGAGCATCACATGTCTTGTGTGGTGCTGATATTTTTCTTTTCTTTCCCGTTTCCATCTCATTGAACAACATTGTTCTTCCACTTCCCACTTTTCTATTTAGCTTTATCTTCTAATTCTCTTGTCAGGTTTTTATTTCTGCAGTAACACATTTTATCTGGGAGAACTCTGTCCTTGCTCTTGATTTTTTCTTGCATGATCTTTTTTTTTTTTGTAAGTTGCATTTTGGGGGTGCTTGGATGGAACCCAGGGGTGCTCTCTACCACTGAGCCACATCCTCAGAACTTTCTCAATTTTTAAAATTTTGAAAGAAGGTCTGATCATGTTGCCCAGGCTGGCCTTGAACTTGCAGTTCTGCCTCCGCCTTCAGAGGAGCTGGGATCACAGGCAGTGGCCTCCACTCCAGCCCTCCTCTGTGTTTTGGGCTCCTTCACAGTGGAGGATTTCCTCAAGCATCCTCAGCCTCTGTGCATGTGTTGAGAGTCATAGCCGAGTCGGAATGGCCCCTGGGTACACGCACAGCCCAGGGGAAGGAGTTCCGGTTGGTGTGTTCCTAGAGGAGCCGCGTGGGTGGCGTTTGGGAGAGTTCCCTGGGAGTGTGCTGGTGGCGTTCGGAAATAAAGTTTGTTCTTGCTTGAGTGGCTCGGGATTTGTGCCCAGCCAGACTTCGGCATGCACATGTGAAAGCAGAGTATCAAGACCCTGAGTGTATACATTGGATGCCCGGGGTGGCTTCTTCATAGTGGGATGCGGCTGGGACATTGATTAGGGGCCACCTGCTCTCAATATTTCTAGATTTTGTTTCTTGGGTCAGCCAGATCTGGGGAGGAGAACGAGACTCTTCTGTCTGGAGTGTACATCTTCCCAGGTGCACAGAGGGCTGGGCTGCCTGCAGCATCCAGGAGGCTCACAGCACAGAGCCTGCCATCTGCCATCCAAAGATCTTTTTTATTTTTTTTATCCTCTTTGGAGAGGAAGGTTTTCCTGTATCCGATCACAGGTGGAGAGAGAGGCCAGGCGCTGCGATGGCTGAATTTTCTGAGGAGTCCGTCAGGTTGGGTCTTGTCTTCCCAAGCTCAGCGAGGATGCGGCTTTCTTGCATCTTGGATCAACTCATTCAGTTACTTCCTGTCCATTTGCTTTCCTAAATGTGAAGCTGCAGTTTCTCTGGCTCACCCTATTTTTGTGGATTTCTGGCTTTAAAAAGACCCTTTTACATGCCATTTTAGAGAAGGAATGGGTGGGAACAAATATGGCTACACGTGTTCAGTTCACCATTTGTCCTCACATGTGACGATCGTTTCTCATGCTTGCCTTTTATCCAGATTCTTACTGCAGAAGCAGTGACAGCATCTGCTTGCAGCATCTTCAGGTGTGAAGGTTTTGAGACAGAAAAATGATACATCCCACTGTACAATTTCCAAGAGGCCCAATTCCTTGAACATCATAATAAACACACCTCTCAGCTATTGAGTGTCCCCTGGAGGCCAGATGCCCCCTCGGCTGCCTTGCACGAGTCGTAGCCCGTCCACAGCGGGCCTCTGAAGGAGCAGAGGAGAAGAGTGTGAAGAAGTTCAGGAGGACCCTGAGTTAATAAGGACTGACTTTGCTAGACACGCAGAACCAGACGTGGCTTTTCCTCACGGTGCGTCTGACTTTACCGTTTGCCAGTGAATGGACCTCACAGAAGGCTCAGTACAAGAGCCCATGGGAAAAGTAACGAGCGGGGGGTACGATTAACCCAGGACTTACCGAGGACCCCTGCGAAGTGAAACTCTAATCAGAATGAAGAGGAAGATGAGGGTTCCCCTTCCTCTCTCTCTGCCTCCTCTCAAACCTTCCTTAACACCAACGTGGATTCAAGTCCCTCGGGGCAGAGAACCTTGAGGAAAGTCCGCCAGCCCCCTGTCTGTCAGCATCCTAAAGCTTGCTGATCCTCCTTGGAGGCTGTTCAGGTGAAATCAGAACCTGCTTGTTACTTCACCAAGAGCAAGTGGACTTTCCGTTCATCAGACTGTGGCTGCAGTGGCCCCGCTGGACCTGCTAACTGGCCTGGCCTTCCCGTGCTGAGTGCTGGACAGGCAGCTCATCCTGAGCAACACCTGACCCTGGTTCTTCCTCCAGCCATGACAGAGACCCTGGAGGCAGGACTGGAGTCTGGAGGCTGCTGCCACGCAGACAGTACTTGGGGTCCATTTGACCACCTCCTGCTATCAGTCCTGGGCGAGATACGTCTCTGCTTGCTGCCTATTTCCTCATCGGGGGAAAAATTGGTCAAGTTAGCGCCATTTTGCACGTGGCGTTCTTCTGAGGACCGAGGTGTTTGTGAAGGGCTTGGTGTGACCCTGCTGCACTCTTAGGTCATTCTTTCAGTAATTTATTATTCAGCAGTGACAGGCAGTGTCCTAGAAGTTGAGCGTCTGGAGATGAATGTGATTTGACCCCTAGTTTCAAGGAGCTCGGTGGTGAGTGGAGGGTCGGGGTAGAGTGGAGGTTCTGACCGTCCCTCCTGCTTGACACTGATCTCACTGACAGGCACAGTGCTGTCTGTGCACCCCTGGCTCAGCAGGTATGCAGCCCAGACCCTGCCCCGATGTCCAGAGCTGCCTGTGCAGATTGTCACCGCGTCTCCAGCATGGCTCAGACTCAACGCGGCTCTTATGGGTCTCCTAGTGTCTCCAGACCTGGTCCTCTTCTCACACCTACCTGGACCCCCTCATCTCCCCAAACCTGCTCTTTCTGTGGGTTCACAAAGGAGGCGGTATCTCCCAGTTGTACAGGCATCTGGGAGGATGGCTGTAATATTCCCACTTATTACTCTCTCCTATCCTACCCCAAAACAAGCGCTCAGCTGTGTTCCGAACCTCACTCAACTCTGCCGTTGATGTTTTCTTCCCCATTGTAAGGTCCTGACTAAGCTGGCCGTTTCTCCCTGGTCCCTCTTATACTCAGGGCCAGCTCCTTCTCACAGCATCCTCGGCTCATTCCCTCGGTTGCACCCAGGGAACCTCAATGTCTCTTCACCGCTCTTCACAGTAAAATCCCTTCCGGGCACCATGTCCCAGCTGAGGCTGTTCCCGGGCCTCGTGGAACTGGGCTCCCCATTTTCTTCCCTATTTTCCTGGCAGGGTCGTCTCTGGAGTCTTTCAGTTATGCAAATAAACTGGCGCCCTCTTCCCAGTGGCCAGAAGCACAAAGCACAGATAAAACAAGCTGGGTGTGCAGATGACATCTGAAGTCGGAGGGGACAGTCGTGTGTACGGAGCCCCCACCTGTGTCTTCGAATACTCCTCCTCTGGGGAAGCTCTTACTGTCTTGAGACAGTAGCTCAAGTACTATTTTTTTTGTTTCTTTCAGAGAAAACTTCTCTGACTTCCTAGTTTGCATCCGACTCCTAAAGTCTTTGGACACTTTAAGTGTATTTTTGTAGCTGATGTTGGCTGGCAGCCCTCAGTGACTCTCGGGGGCTGGTGACCTCGGACGCAGGATGACGGTGCTCCTCCAGCTTCCTTTGGGTTGGCCAAGGTGATCCCCAGGGAAGAATGGCTTGATCCCTCACGGCTGAAGGTTAAGTTAATCCCAGTGGACAGTAATGAATCGATCTTGTGTATGTGAAGAGGCCCTGTTAAAACCCAAGTGGAGAGGGTGCCGGGACATGGGTGGAACCCGTGGCAGTTCCTGAGGTGGCACGTGTGGACAGGGTGTGGGAGCCCTCCCCACCGTGCCCTCTGTGGCTCCTCGCAGGATGTGCGTTGGGGTCCTTTGGAATCATTCGTAATACACCAGTCAACATATTTTCTGAGTTCGTGAGCCTCGCTAGCAGCAAAGGAGCCCTGAGGAGGGGATTGTGGGACCGCCAATTTACAGCCAGTTGGTCAGAAGCACAAAGCACACATAAAACAAGCCGGGGTGTGCAGATGACATTCGAAGTCGGAGGGGACAGTCGTGTGTATAGAGCCCTCACCTGTGGGCCTAGGCTGTATCTAGGCAGCGATGTCACCGCACAGTTGGACTGGGGGACACTCAGTGGCACGCACTACAGGGGCATCATTTACTTGATGGTGGCATTCCCAGTACGCTTGTCCCACGTCAGAGCTTGCAGTGGAGAGTTTGCGGGAGCCCGGGGTTCTTCCTCCTGCGTCCTTGGAGCTCATAATGTGATTTCTTAGAATTGTTATTATCTTCAGAGTGTGGATCTGTATGAGAGATAACCACAAGCTCTCATCATGACTGTCTGAAGAATCCCTCTCTCGGTATGAAGCCAGGATGTCTGCTCCACTGCTGTGCCCTGGTGGCCTGGACGGTGCCCCTGTCATGCTGAACAGATCATTATGGAATGAGTGAAGGGACCACAAGGTCCGTGAGAGGTGGGGCGGAGACTGCTTCCTTCACTGTAGCTTTCTGCAGTGGAATTGAGTCTCATTAACACCTGCTCAGGTGAATGAGGAGTAAGAGAAGCCATGAATGAAATGTTTTCCTAGAGGTGAGGCGGGCCCCTGGGGAGTGGTCCACCAACCGAGGCTCAGGGTGGATTCCCGGAGGGGTGATGACCGAGCTGCCCAGGATCACCGGCTGCTGCTCCAGGGGACGGGGCCACACCAGCAGAGGTCGGGGCCTGAGGCCACAGGGAATTCTGAGTGTGTTGGCCTGGTTAGGGAGCGGGAGAGGAGAAAGGGGCTGTGTCCCCCAGCTTGCTCCTGAGAAGGCCACAGGAAATGCCATATCACCTCCCAGGAGAAGCTGGACAGCAAGGGTGGGTCAGAGCTAAGGCGTGGCTCACCCGCTCCCGTGTGACTCCATGTGCCCCTGGGTGCTGGCTCCAAAGAGGGCATGAACCAGGCTGAGGAGGGGTCCGGTGGGCCCTGAGATTCCGGGGACACTCCCACTGAGCCAATGGGCTGGTCTGAATGGAGAAAGTGTGAATGGCCAGTCTGAGTTCAGGCCTCAATCTTTTAACTCAAGACAAAAGAACAAAACATAAACACAAACCTGGTGCCTGATGAGCCTTAGGATGCAATGTCCATCTCAGCTGGAGAGTCCAGAGGGGCCAACAGATTTCTCTTGCCCCCGCTGGGAACGGTGGAACTCCTGGTCCCAGGGTGGACATCTTGCAGGGCCTGACCTGGGCCGCTCAGCCTCGTGGGAGTGCTCCCTGTCCTCTGCCCTCCCTCCTCTGGCAGGGTGGGCCCATCCAGGCTGGCCCAGGTCTGAGCCTCTCACCTCCCAGGCTTCCCTTCCAACAAGGACTGGCCTAATGTCCAAACGACAGTCAGGGTCACCCCTGGCCCCGTCCTGGGCACCCCTTTCCTTGCCCTTCATGTGCCCCCGAGAGGACCTGTCTCAAACCTGGTTCCCAGAGGTCTCAGTCAAGCAGTTCTTCAAGGTTTTAGCAGACGTCTCCTCTCCCACGGGCTCAGGTGTGGTTCCATGGAATGTGGACCCGGCCCAGTGGGCTGCGGGCACCGAGTCTCCCTCAGCTCTGCCTCTTTCTTCCTCGCCAGGTGCGAGGACACTGCACTCACTCTTGCCCTGGACAGCAGTCCAGCATACAAATAGACATGCTGCTTGCTTAAGGACAATTCCAGCAGAGCATCTCATCCCCCCATGATGTTTTATGAACTCAAAGCCATTTTATCCTCAGAGCAACCGTAAAGGAGAAGCATCTAAAGGTGTTTTTCTTGGAATGGGCAGACTCATCCAGTACGATTCTTTCCCATTCTGTTTTCTGCCTTTGTGGTTCATTATCCATTCAGACCAGTGCTTCTCTGATCTCTGACCGTGCAGACTTTCAAGGATAAAGGCTGGTTGAAAAGGGACAGTTGTGACCTGCTTATGGTCAAAGTTCAGGGTGTAAATGTGTATGCTCCAGTGAGGTTACTCTCCTGGAGACAGCTTTATGTCCCTCCTCGCCCAACTCCAGGATTAAGGCCATGGATCTGTTGGGAGCCCTGGGCCAGATCCCCTGCTGTGCTTCCCCACCCTTCATCCCCCAACTCAAGATCACCTTCCTGATCCACAGTGGGCTTCTTGACAATGGAGGAGCCCCACCCCCATTTCAGGATCATGCAGACAGGTGAAACTTTGTTGGAACCCTCATGTCCTGTGTCCATGCACCTGGGGTGGAGACTGTTGGCAGAGGTCTGGGACGAAAGCAGCTGTGGAAACCCAGTTATGAACAGTGCTTACCATAAATCTGCTGCTCATGGCCTAGGATATTAGTAGCACAATTGAAATGGTCTCCCACACTGTTTAACACTCTCTGGTTTTTGCATTTTACTAAGATTCTACAATTAAGAACTTAATTTGTTTGGTTGTATTGTTTTTATGATCTTAGGATAGTGCTGAAACATTCTGAGTGGAAACAGAAGCCCCACCCTAGTGCGGCATCAGTGAAACAAAGTCACTGTGACCGGTTTCTGTGTACGGCTGGAGGACACTCCTGAACAATCCGCCACATCATGAGGCTTCTCCATTCCAGAACCACCAGTGGTTTCCAGCTTTCTTGGATAGAGCCAAGATGTCTGGCAGGCTCCTCTGACCTGGCTCCTCTGCTCCTGCCTCCTGGCCCTGGGCAGGCTTTGCCATCTTCTCTCTATGGCTACTTTGTGGAATGTTCTGCCGGGCTTCACCTCTTCCTGCTCATCTGACAAAGGCCTTCACTCCATAAAATCCCTCTCCTGCATATTCCTGTGGAATTCTCTGCCTTCCTTTTTATCCCTTTACGCAGCTGTGAAGGGATGCTGCACTGTCCACCGTGCGTCTTGATGTTTAATATGACTGCTCTATTCTAAGTCCCAGGAGGTGGCACCAAGACAGTTTTTATATTCCCGGTGCCTGGAAGGAGCCTGACCCATAGTTGGGGTCCAGAGAATACCTCCTGAGTGACTTTCCTGTCCCACTGACAAGTGAGATTCTCGAGTTGGAACCTGGATGGATTTGACGTCCCTGCTGTGTGGATGCAGTCCTTGATCCCCACCCAATTCCATCTCTCCTTAGTTTCCCATTCTAGGTCTTCACCACTGTCCAAACTCGCCATGAAGGCTGGCCTCAGCCCTGTCCTGTCCCCATCTCCTCTGGCCTACTGTGTGTGTGACTTACCTGCATCAGGATGGGACAAGGCACAGAACCCCCTCCCCAGCATCTCCTCTTGGCTTCTGCCATTTCCCTTCTCGATATTTGTCTCTGACCCGGGTCCTGGGAGCAAGGTGAGCCTGACACAGCCTTCAACTTCTCTTTCAAGGAGGGTTCACTCTAGAAAGTTCTTAGCCTGCTGATGAGCTGGCAGAGCTGTTAATGGCGAAATTCCCAGTGGGTGGGGGAGGTGTTAGGACCTGTAACCATTCTGTGTCCAGGACACCAGGCCCTGTTCACCAGGGAAGGCCAGACCTACTGTGACACCTGGGAATGACAGCAACTACCTGGGGCACCTTTGTGTCCTGTGTGCTTCAATAGGGCATCTCCATTCCCCACAGAGGTCTCATAAAGTAGCGATGACCACTAGCATTTTATCCTTTCTCAGTTGAGGAAGAAGGTGGGTCTTTGCTGAGGCTACATTCTAGTGAGAGGCAGAGCAAGTTCACACTCTCACCTGCTTCATGTGGATTCATGTCTCCCTCCTGTGAAGGGAGTGGACGCCTGGCGCCGTGGCCACAGCCCGAGAGTACGTTCCCATCAGGCGGCACAGCTCGCGCTCCAGGGTGAGGTGCACACAGAGAGCACAGAAACCCAGGCTGGGAGCAAGCTTCTGAAGGCTGGGGACACCGGAGCAGCGGGAGCTCCAACCTGACAAGGTGACCTGGTCCTCACTGGTGCATGCTGGAAAAGTCCCATCTGGTGACTGTTGGAACTCTTTGGTGTAGGCACACTTGGCCCATCCTTGCCTAAGAGCCTGAAAGCCTGTCCTGGCAACTCTTGCTTATGTGCCAAGGAGACATGAGCAAGGACAGCTGCAGGCCACCTGATGGAACATCGCATGAACACATCACAGTAGAGTCACCACATGGGGGACATCATAACATGGAGTGGACCTCCGCTGAGCCCAGGAACATGGACGAGCTCAGATGTATCGGATGGAGTTAGAAAAGGTGAGTGGCAGAAGGTCCAAGTAGCACAGTCAACTGAAGGAAAAGCAGAATTAAGATAATTAAACAACAAATCATTTGGGGAAATAGGAGAACAGTGATACAATTTTGAAGGGAAAAATAGGATTGAAATTTACAGCTGATGGTATGTCACCCACTTCCCTGAGTGGAGTTTGTGACAGGGAGTGGCAGCAGGGCACTCCAAGGTACTGGTCGTATGTCATCTCTCAAGCTTTGTGCTGGTGTTTCTCAAGCCTAGGTGTCTACTTTACTGTTACTCTTAAATAATTACATTATATGGACCTTTTATTTAATATGTTTTAGTTGTAGATGGACACAATCTCTTTATTTATTTTCATGTGGTGCTGAGGATGGAACCCAGTGCCTCACTCATGCAAGGCAGGCGCCCTACCACTGAGCTACAGCCCTAGCCCCCATTATCTGGACCTTTTGAACATGGGATGGTTTTACAAAACTGCAAAAATGTGTAATAATTTCAGGATTGTATAGAATAGAATATGTTGCATTTTGGGGGGGTATACTGGGAATTGAACTGAGGGGCACTCGACCACTAAACCACATCCTCAGCCCTATTTTCCATTTTATTTAGAGACAGGGTTTCACTGAGTTGCTTCGTGCCTCACAGTTCCTGAAGCTGGCCTTGAACTCACGATTCTCCTGCCTCAGTCTCCCGAGCCACTGGGATCACAGATGTGTGCCATGGAGCCCAGCAATATTGCATTTTTAAAAGTTCCACTAGGGGTGAATGGTCTGACTTTATAATGCTCTCACTGAATCAGTGGGATCACGATCAAGGCAGAGTCCTTGTGTGTGTTGAAATGACGGGAAATCCTATTCATGACACGGAAAACAAAGACCCCCCTACACCACCCTGAAAACCACACACGCACAGTCCCACTCAGGAGCAGGCTTGGGGTCCGTGGCTCATCAGGTCAGCCCGACATGGGACCCCAGGCTCCATTCTCTTATTTTTGCTGCTTTAATGCCCCCCACATGACTCAAGCTCCTTTGACGTCTATGCTGAGCAGGTTCCTAGGCGGACTCCATCCACTTACTGACTCAGCATGGTTTTCGCGACACCTACCATGTGCTTGACGTGTTTGCAAGGCAGCAAGGACACTACGTGAGTTCATCTTGGCTTCTGTCTCCCAGGAGGTCTGTGCCGAGGAAGGCGGCAGAAAACAGACGTGAAACAGCGTGATTTGGCCCACACTGCGAGAGGAGCGTCGGGTTCTGTGTGCCCAAGACCATCCAGGGCCTGGTCCAGCTGGGCATCAAGAAGGACTTCCTGGGGAAGACAGCTTCTCACCTGGGTCCTGAAGGAGGGAAGCAGGAGACACTTGCTCTGGGGGGTGGGTGGAAGGTGTTTCAGGAAAGGGAAGTGGGATCAGAGCAAGCGTGAAGGAAACAGCATGGCGAGTTGTCATTCTGCAGGGGAGTGTTACTTTTGCCAAGTTGTGACCACTTCAAGTAGAATTTCCAGCCTTGTTTGTTGGATCTTCCATCCTGTGGTACCTCGCGCAAGCTGCATGGCCCTGAGCAAGTCCCTGGTTCCTTGTAAATCTCAATTTCCTCACCTGAAAAATGAGGCAAAAACCAAACAATCCCAATGGTCCCCTGGCCTCCCAACGCAGGCAGGATCCGCTGTGGGGAAGGGCGGGGAAGTTTCAGTGGGATAACAGACGCAGAAGTACTTTGGCCAGTAGAAAGCGTGCGACGAGTATTTTAATAGCGTGTTAAGATGACAGGGATGGCTCTTGCTGAGATGTGCATATGCCAATTCCTAGTGACAATGACCGCAGCGGGGGACATGCAGCCGCCTGAAGGTGACCTAAATCCATCACGCTGCTTAAACCCTAGCAACAACAAAGGCAATTACCGGGCTCAGAGGGTGCTCAGTGAGATCAGGTAGGTTTTGCTCACCTCGGAGCCCCACCCTCCTCTCAACATCACAGTCCTTCAAAACTGTGTTTCAGAAAATGGACTGTGGTCGCCTGCGAGCCAGCCGGGCTTATTTGCCTGTAGGACGTGAACTGAATCATTTAACTCCAGCTGAGTTCTCATTCCAACATCCCCTTGACGTTAAATAACACCAAAAGTCTTTGTCCTGAGTGTTGGCGCTCCTGCTTCCTTTATGACCTTGAACCTGGGTGCTTGTAAGACCTACAATTAGGACCTTGGAGATGTAGTATGCTCTAAATAACTCAGTAGAACTTAAACTGGTAAATCCAGTGTTTGCCGACTCGGCGCCAGGAGCTGTGGCCATTTCTATTATTATTAATGTCTTCACAAAGTTCCATGAAGTGTTACTGCTATCCACGTCATCACAAAAAACAGCAGGGACCTGCGTTTGGATACCTGGCCCCAATCAAAAGATCTCAGCACAGCGTCTCTAAAGGGGTTGAGGATGGAAGCTGGGCTCTGTACCTAAACCCTGGGGTCCCCCCACCGTATGTAGGGTGCCCAGGCCTCCAGGAGCTTCCAAGGTCTAACAAGCTCCTAGGTGCTGAGCCCTGGACATCACAGCGTATCACTTTTGCTTTGAAGCTGTTTCTAGCTGGAGAACCTCACGTGGTGCTGCTAAGTAAGCACTGTCCTCATGGCTAAGAGCTGTCCTGCCATGCACCGCCCCCCTCTCCCGGCCTTGGCATACTCCAGGGGCATGGAGCACCAAGCTCCAGGCCCTACGGTTCCTTGAGTGGACCTTGGAGAAACCAAGACAAGAGGAAGGCAAGGAAGAGACGGCTCCAGCTGGGCTTTGACTGTCCAGTCTAAGGCTTCATCCGCAGCCTCACAGCAGAGGGCTTCTGTTCTCCAGGTTCTGAGCCCCTGACTGCAAAGTTTTAGGTCTGGAATTGGACACCACCAATTGTCCTCTTTAGGACACTGGATGGTAAGTCACCTCATTTCCACAGCCGTCCAGACTGGGAAATCCACATTTGGACTCCCTGTACCTGATGCAGATGAACGCGTCTCGCTCCTGCCCAACCTGGTGACACGCTTTTTTCTCTTCCTTTCTATTCGTTTGTATTTGCTCTATTTTGTTTGTTTGATGGTTAAAGAGTTCTGGTGATGACTCAGGAAACAGATTTCACCACCCACCGGAACAGGGCTTAAAGTTTGGGGGAGACTCCTCTGAAGCAACTTGGAAATCTCGAGTCCCCACGTGTTGTCTGGATGAACCCGTTGGCCCTCAAGGACTGGGAGCCTGCAGACATGACTCAGCTCATGTCCACGCTCCCAGGCACCCCGTGCAGCTCCTAGGGGCACAGTAGTCTGTAGGGCCCTCTCCCGAGTGGACTGGCTAGTAGCTTTGTTGAGCTGGGAGTGGCTTCACCTGCAGGCTGCATCTGAGCAAGTGTGGGTCCTACATGACCTACTTCATGCTGAGTTCAGGTAGAACCTGGGATAGCATCATACCTTACAACAACACAGGCCATGTCATACACTTCCCATCTCCTGATCCTGTATTATACGGGGGATATGTCGTGCCTTGCATCCTCTATATCATCATTGTGTACTTCCATACTTTGTGTATGTTATGTGGGCGGTAAACAGCGTATTCTCCATGCACATGACATGGAAGAGGTGCCCTCTCGCTCCTGCACTCCCAACATGCCTGGCCCCCCAGCTGCACACAATTCCTGGACTCTCTTCCCCACTTCCCTTTTCTCTATAGAAGTGATTGACACATCTTACTTGCTCTTTGTTAGTTTTTTTCTTACAGAATATAGGCTTTGACAGTCTGATTTTTTGTGTATTTTTTTCTGCTCACTAAAGCACGACATATTACAGGTGCTTATTTATTTGTTAGGTGAATGAAGAAAGGACGAAAATCAGTGTGTGTGTGTGTGTGTGTGTGTGTGTGTGTTTCAGAGCAGCAGCCCCTGACTCTGGGCTTTCGGTACTTATCAAGCATCTGTGGTCCCAGCCATGACTCTCTGAACAGGCTGGAAGTGGCAGGGGGTCAGGGAGCCCCTGCTGGAAGAATCCACACATGGGTCAGTGAAGAGACCCCTTCAGAGGGGTAGTGGAGTCCACCAGGGCAGCGGTGGCCACTCTGTAGGATTTCTGAGACATTCTTCAGGGAAATCAGGGCCAAGACACGTGCTGATAATACGAATCCACTTTGGTCAGCAGTCTCTGAATTTTTGCCCTCCGTCTGTTTAAAGATGCGATTTAAAGAAAGGAGTGATAGGATTGGCAAAGTGCTGGGTGAGGTGACTTACGGGGGTCCTATGAAGAGCCTCCCCTGGACCGTCCTGTTCTTCAGGGTGGCGAGCGGGAGAGACGCCAGGTGTCCCCTGCACACTTTCGGCTTCCTCCCTGGCTCTCTCCCTGCATCTCCTCTTTCCTCATGTCTAGGCCACTCAGTCTGTTTCATGGTCAACCTCACAAGGAGCTCGTGGCAGGACGGGCAGAGGGACAGGAGCAGAGTGCAGTGTGCCAGGGAGGGGGACGCAGCCGACAGGTCCAGACGAGTTTCTGACTCGGGGGATAGAAGGCTGCGTCTCGGTGTAAACAGCACTTTCTTTCCACGTGGTTTTCAGGCTGCTGGGCCTGGGAGCCCTGGAGACAGCCTGGCACACGGGAAGGAATGAGGCTTGAGGTTTGTGGACGCGCATATCCAATGGGCATCAAAGGCTGGGCTCATTCATGCGCAGAAGCTAACACCCGCTTTTCCTCAGGCAGCAGCGTCCAGGTGGGGGACATGTCGGTGACGCTGTTACTTCACCCAGTGGCTCTTCTCCTGGGCCATCTCCCTCGGCCTCCTAACATTCCTTCAGAGGTCTACAGGGACCCCCCATCAATGCTGCAGTGGCACCTCTGCCTGCAGCCTTGGGGGGCTGGGACAGCGAGGGCCTGGCACTCATAGAGGAGCCTAAATTGTCCCCAAGATGATTAACAGCCCCATCAGGAGGAGAGGCTTCGGCGACCATCAGATACGCCAGTCGGGTTCTTCCCCTCAGTGAGGCAGGCCCTTAGGGAACAGCACGGGGTCATGATGACAGGCACCGCCCCACCAGACCCTGGGAAGAAAGGACGTTAGGCCTCCCCACACAGCAGAGTTAGACGGCGGGTGCTAGGTCACTCGGACACAACCTCACCAACAGTCCTGCACCCCAATCTTTGATATTTTCTTTCTATATTTTCCTAGGGAACTTGCAGCTTCTAAGATTCATTTTCGATGAGCTCCAATTACGTCCACATCTTACAAAGCAGACAGCACCGTCAGGGGCTCCAGGTAGCACACTGAACTAGGAATTCCTACTGCAGCCCTGCCACAAACCCCGTCTGGTACAGGGTGGTTCCCGTATTTCCTTGAACTAGGCCACAGGTCGGCCCACCTGTGAGGGCTGCCCGGTAAATCCCTCAGGCTCTCCAGCAGTGTTCTCAGGCACAAACACTCAGCCTGCAAACACTCACTGAGGGGTGAAATGGCCACAGTGTGGGCAGGGCCCTGCTCCATGGTCAAAGATCAGTAGCGGCCCAGGAATGGTCTCTGCTGGGTGACATCTGGCATATTTTACGGAGATTGTTGCCTGAAGAAATTCACAAGGCCTCACTTGCACGTTGGTTCTGAAGATTCTGCCCTGGGGTCTCCTCCGTCCTAGGTTTGCAGACAGAGAATTCTGACAATGCTAGGACATGAGAGAGTGGGTTCCCCTGGCACCAACCTCCTGTGGTGAGGTTTCTCCGACTCTTCAGTCCAGGAAGGAGAGGTCCTGCAAGTGAGGAGCAGGTGCACTGTGGCTGGCTAGACAGCCCCGGGGGAGGGTGAGTTGACGGCACTCTGAACTGCTGTCTCCTCTTCTATGCCCTCATCTTATACTTTCCTAGCTGATGTAATGACTTTCATGCAAGAGTCCTGGTGCTGCCGTGAGCACAGCAGAGGGGGCATAGCCCGTGGAGGATCAGCCTCTGTGGATATCGAGCTGACACATCTCAGCTGCACCAGATCAAGGATTCTTTATTCACCATCATTAAAAGTCCCTGGTGCTCCAAGAGTGTCCCGACCAAAAGGTCTACAAACTTGAACTTTTCCTTTCCTTTCCTAAGTGAGAGTCACCAGCACCATTGGAGGTAGCCAACCAGCCCTGGGGAGATCAAGCACCTGGGGCTCTCTGCAGCGTCCCTGGTGATGCCCTCTGTTGCCGCAGCCCGGCTGGCTGGGCAAAATAACCGGGGGGTGACGAGCAACTTGTGTACACTGATGCAGCAGGAGTGGGAGCCGTTTATTGTAGGACAGGAGGGGTGTATGTACATTCCACACAGCTTATCTAATTAACATAAACTAGATACAGCAGTCAACCAATAAGGAATCTCCACACTTAATGGCTCACTGGCTGCGTTACTTCACAAACCACTCCCTCTGCAAAATGCCAGGCGCCGTCCTGACTTGTTCACAGACCTTAACACTCTGTTCTGAGCTCCCGGCCTCAGTGCCTGTGTCACTCTAGATGACGTCCCTTCCCAGTTTCATTAGTGCCTTGCAAGGCGCGGCCGGAGCCCTCTCCAATGCCAGCTGAAAATCCACCATCTATAGCAGCAACACGGTCAACGCCAGCTCAGCTCTTGGTCCCAGTTTCTGCATTTGAGGTGCCACGTGATGACATCCAGGAGAAACTGAAAATGGATGCTCTCACCAGATGGGAAATGAGCTGTGAAGGGACTCGCAGACAGGCCAGGGAAGTCAGAAAAGTAAGGTTCAGCACACAGGCAGGGCCGAGCACTGGAGGAGGAGCCACCGCCGAAGTGTTCCTGACCCCCTCAGGAAGACCCTGATGATGACTAACCCTGGCACCAGGAGCCAGCCCGTGGCCCCTACAGCCGTTCACCCGGGCTCTTCTGCCACCTTCTCCCAGAATGAACTTGTTGTTTTTGGTACAGCTTTAGTAAGATAGAACTTGCGTATCATCCACTCCACTGTTCACAGTATGGAATCCAGTGTCTGACGTCTATGTTCAGAATTCTTCAATTGTCATCACAGTTACAACCTCCTTCCTGCCTCAAGGAGAAACGCTGTGCCATTAGCGGCCACCTGGGCCCCGTCCTCCATCCTTGGCCAAGACTCGTCTTCTGTCCTGCGGGTTTGCCTGTCTGTGCACCTCATGTAAGTGGGATGGTGCAGGAGGTGGCCTTTGGTTGCTGGCCTTGTTCACTCGGCCTGGTGTTTCAAGGTCCATCCATGTTGTATTCCGCACCTGTTTATCGGGAGGGAATATTCCATTATGAGGACCAACAACTTTCATTTTTCCATGTATTAGTTGATGGGCCTTTGAGTCCCTCCTCTGTCACTACTGTTCACTTTTAACTCTCATGTGGCATAAACAGGTTAGTACAACTGCTTTTGACTGTCGTGAAAAGAGCCGCTGTGAGCCTTCGCGCACTTGTTTCAGGGTGGCCATAAATATTCATTGTTTCTGGAACGGACTTTAAGTGAACCTTGTTGTGTTGTCTGATGGAACTTGTGATTGTGTCACCTGAGGGTCTTGGCCACTGCCGTCCCTGTGCTGCGTGCACAGAGGTCCAGGAAGACCTGGTGCAGTCCAGAACATCATGTCCAGTGGCACAGAGGCCTCGACTCCCACTGAGTTTGAGAGAGGGGTGGCCAGATGCACAAGGTGGCAGGTTGCTGCCCAGGTTAGTCCTGTGCACTGTGGCTCCTGACAGGCGTCCAGGCTGGGATCTGACCTCTGCCTTGGGAACCCTGCCACCCTTCCAAAACGCAACCTCCCTACCTCCAAAACAGAGACATAGCCAGCACCTTTTCCACAGTCGGTGGGAATCTCATTAAAATAAATAATAATAATAATAATAATAATAATAATAATAATTAGACTGTTGGTTTCATCTTTGGACTGGGGACGTTTATTAAATAACGGTAGAGATGAAACAGGACAGATGCCTGTTAAGCAGATTGGCTATTTACATTCAAGTTACTAAACAAAAATTTATGAAATATCTGAATGATCTTAATGTATGGAAGGTGAATTTTAAAAATGCTTTTAAAAAACCATTAATTTGAGCACACACATAATAAGGAATTTCTTAAAAATTCCCGTTTTTACCTGTGATGTGGGGCCCTGAACCTTCCCGTGTTTGCTCAGTGGAAGTGCTAACAGCACTTGGACCATGTGCCCCGTGTGTTCCTGCCCAGTGCACGCAGCCGCGCTTAGCACAGCTCACCTCTGCTCTCTGGTGCCCGTCATTCCATGGTGGTCGGAATGGTGAGATCCTTGGGCGTGCTATCAGCCCAGCCACTGGAAGCCTTGGAACACCCCTTTGCTCTTTCACAGAGTTAATTTTGTTTGTTTTCTGTACCTGTCTGATTGATGGATTGATTGGTGGATGGGTGGACGGACCCTGTGATCTAGACAGTTTCTCCACAGGAGAGTAACTGATTTGGGAGCTGGTAATTCTTGGCAGTAGGGTCATCCTGGGCTGGATGGTGGTCAGTGAGGAGCCTGATCTCTACCCACTGCATCCCAGGAGCAGCTCCTCCAACTGTGCTGAGCACCATCTCCCGACCTTGCCACCTGTCTCCGGGAAGTCCTCCTCCAGGCGGAGCACTGCTCCTGCAGTTGAAATATGTGAATCTCAGCTGCTTCTCAGAGCCACGCACACTTGTCCCCGTGTTCCTCCTCTGTCACTACTGTTCACTTTTAACTCTCATGTGTCATAAACAGGTTAGTACAACTGCTTTTGATTTCCAAGTGTATCATGTTTTAAATGAATTAAAAATCAAGGGACAAACGTCTTTTCTATCTACCTATCTATTTACCATTTCCTTTACACTTCATTTCTCTGTTTGAACTCAGTTTTCTGCCTGCTCTTA